GATAATGTGATATTATTCAGTGGCTTATTCTGGCTCCTGAAAGTTGACTGTTAAATTTGATTGGAATTTTGCAAGCCAGCTGATGTCATGCTGGTATCTTGAAATAAGCCATAGTGGGAGTATTTACACAATGGAAATTAGCAAATGCTACAAATCAGAGGTGGGGGGAGAGGAAAAGAGGGAAGTGTGTGTGTGTGGGAGGTGAAGACAGAGAGCAAGAGAGAGCCAGAGAGAGAGAGAGACTGAGATTGCCATAGTTTTAAACTGCAGAACCAATTTGGGCCTGAGTCAAATTGTTTTTCTGGCTCTTTGTAGGTAGAAAATATAAGATTTTCTGAAGAATTATATAGAAATGGTACTGTCTGAACTCTTACATGACTGAGCTCTGGAACCACCTCAAATTTCAAATCCAGCTTCTCAAGCAACTTTATGTTTTTTTGAGTAGTACTGAACATTTGGTGGAAGGAAAACGATCTCAAAAGAGTAGGTGTTAGAAAATAGACTTCATTGCCTATCTCATTACATGTCCATAGGACTCAGTGTATATGGAAATGGAAAAGTGGAATTTGAAGTGACTTTTGAGGAATGAGGTAAAGCAGCAGTACTGGAGAAAGCACTTTGTTGCCCCATTAGGCCTAAGGCCACACAATATGGGAAACGTCTTGGTTTAGTTGGAAGTGAGGTTCAAGGACAGCATAGCTCTGTTGGGAACCAGGCTACTTGAGTTTGGATACCACTTCTACTACTTATTAGCTTGTACAAGTCATTTACCTTTTCTGTGCCTCAGTTTCTGTATCTGTAAATGGGAGTAATAATGGTACCTCCCTTTTATGGGAATTAAATGAGTTATAACATATATTAACCTCTTAGAACAGAGCTAATGCATTGTAAATAAAAGTATTGTTGTTGTTGTTGTTAGGTGCCATCGAGCTGGTTCTGACTCATAGCAACCCTATGTACAACAGAATGAAACACTGTCTGGTCCTGCGCCATCCTCACAGTCATTGTTATGCTTGAGTCCACTGTTGCAGCCACTGCAGCAATCCATCTTGTTGAGGGTCTTCCTCTTTTTTGCTGACTCTGTACTTTACCAAGCATGATGTCCTTCTCCAGGGACTGATCCTTCCTGATAACATGTCCAAAATATGTGAGACGAAGTCTTGCCATCCTCATTTCTAATGAGCTTTCTGGCTGTACTTCTTCCAAGATAGATTTGTTCGTTCTTTTGGCAGTCCATGGTATATTCAATATTCTTCACCAACACCATAATTTAAAGGTGTCAATTCTTCTTTGGTCTTCCTTATTCATTCTCCAGCTTTCACATGCATATGGAGTCATTGAAAATCCCTTGGCTTGGGTCAGGCACACCTTAGTCCTTAAAGTGACATTTTTGCTTTTTAACACTATAGACAGGTCTTTTGCAGCAGAGTTGCTCAATGCAATGCATCCTTTGATTTTTTGACTGCTGCTTCCATGGGTGTTGATTGTAGATCCAAAGTATTGTAGAAGTATTGGCTATTATTATATATTTTTCCATATATTAATTGTGTGAATTTCAGTAAGCCATTTGATTTCTTTGAGCCTCAGCTTTCTCATCCATAAAATGAAAATAATATTTACAAGTGACTTACCTACTTCATGGGCTGTTTTGAGGCTTGAATAAAATACAATGATTATGAAAGTGCTTTGGACTAAGAAATCATTTTGGTGAAGAGAAAAAGTATAGCGACAAAGAGGTAGTCTTGGAATGCAGTTCTGAGGAATGAAGTATTTTTCAGCAAAACCCACAGGCTGATTGTGAACGGAAGAGGGAAATCGCAACAGGCTGTGTAAGTTGTGGGTTTCTCTGCCAAGCACGCATCAGCATTCACACGTGCCCAGCATGGAAAGGCATCTGGTCGCACATTGGTCTTTCTGGCTACAAACCTATAAACAGATAGCAATTGCAAGCAGCGTCAACTCACAGTAAAAACAAAGTCCATTGTCTGGTTATATCTGAACCTGGAAGAGCCACCACTTAGCAAGCAATGATGTGATGCCATGAGATCTAGGAAAGCCTCTAAGCTCCCACCTCTTTCTGTCAAGTCCACGTACCTTGGCTGAATAATGTCTGACCTCACAACCCTCAATATATCATCCCTTCACTCCAAGGAAAGCTGACTCTCTAAGCTATTCTTAGCTATTTAAACCTTAGGGTGAATGAAGAATTGGAGAAAACTCTTCATTCAGATTTGGGCATGCTGTAAGCCAATGCTCTGCACAACTCTGCTTGGATCACTTCTGCAAGTGTGATGATGTTGAATATTAGGGAGATACAAACTCAAACAACGAGATGTAACTACACACCTTTTAGAAGGCCAGAAATCCAAAACATGACCATACCAATTTCTGGCAAAGATGTGGAGCAACAGGAATTCTCATTTATTGCTGGTGGGAATGCAAAATGGTACAGCCACTACTCACAGCCCACACTTAAGAAATGGGAAGTTATACAAAGAGTTATAAAAAGTTATACAGTAGAGAAACCAGACAAACACAACCTCAGCTAGGTTATAAGTTTAACATCTTCAGTGATAAGTCATGTTAATAGTAAGTATCCATGATTTGATGAGAATGGCACTTTACCTCTGTGGTCTTCCTCCCCAAAACCTATAACCCCTGTCTAATCATGAAGAAAACATTCAGAAACATCCAAATTGAGGTAAATGCTACAAAATACCTGGCCAGTACTCTCAAAATTGTCTAGGTCATGAAAAACAGGGAAAGTCTGAGAAACTGTCACAGCCAAGAGGAGCCTGATGAGACATGACAGCTAAACGTAATCTGGTGTCCTGGGTGGGATCCTGAAACAGAAAAAGACATTAGGCAAAAACTAAGGAAACCTGATTAAGTATGGACTTTAATTAATAACGATGTATTAATACTGACTCATTCACTGTGACAAATGCGCCATACTAATGTGAGATGCCAATAATAGTGGGAACTGTGTGGAGCATATGGAAACTTTCTGTGCTATGTTCACAATTTTTCTGTAAATCTAAAACTATTCTAAACTTAAATGTGTATTAAAAAAAACCCCTAAAACAATCTCAAACTTAAACAGAAATCTTGCAAGTACAGTACAAAGAACTCTTTATTTCCTAAACCACTTGAAAGCAAATTACTGACATAATGTTCCATCAGCCCCAGAAACTTGAGCATGTAATTTCCACGAACAAGAACATTCTCCCACATAATTCCAATGCAAGCATCAATATCAGGAAATTGACACTGATGCATTACTTCTATCTAATCCATGGGCATCACTCAAGCTTCACCAATTATCCTAACAATGTCTTTTAAAGCAAAAGAATCCTTCAATATGGAACATTTCCTCAGTATTTCTTGATTTTTATGACCTTGACAACTATTGAAGATTACAGGCCAGTTATTACGTATAATGTCCCTCAACCTGGCTTTGTATAATGTTTCCTCATAATTAGACTTAAGTTATATGTCTTTGGCAGGATTATCAAGAAAGTGGTGGGTGTTCTTCTCATTGCATCCTATCAGGTGGCAACTTGCCCCATTAATGATGATGTTCACTTTGATCACTTAATTTAGATGGTGTCTGCCAGTCTCCTCCACTGTAAAGTTACTCTTTTCCCCTTCGTGGTTAATAGTTATTTGGGGGATTTACTTTGAGTCTATGTGGATATCCTTTTTCTCATCAATTTATTTATATCAGTTTGGCCTCTTAGTTTCCTATTGGATTCAATGGGTTATATAATCCACTGCTATCATTAAAAAAATTTTTTTCTTTGATGTTTAAATCATCCCAGATTTTCATAGTGGGGACACTTAATCTGGATTGTATTTCCTTTTGACACCTCACCATCATTCGTACTTTCTGACACAATAACATGTTCCAGGCTCATCTAGCCTTTCCTTGCCCCAGCTCTAGAATCAGCAGTTTCTCCATCAACTTCCGGTTCCTTTCAGAGAATTGTATTCAGAAACTCAGATTTGGTTCTAGGTGTGCTCACTGTTATTGGGTGTCCTTGCTCCTAGATCCTCTCAGTAGACAGACATAGAGAATACACACACACACACACATACACGTGTGTGTATATGTACATTTATATTTATATTTCTATACTTACCTATCCAGACTGAAAACCATGAATTCACACTAAGACTTACAATTCTAAGCCAAAATTCAGCATTCAGTCAAGTTTTCTCCTTTTCTATATTTGTAATTCCTTTTCAACAATGACAACCCCAACACCTATTCTCCTTAATCTGTTTACTATTTTGATCAATCCCCCTGATGAAACCGATCTCTCATTGCACCATCTCCTTGTCCCCTGCATGGATGCCCTCCTTACCCACACTTAGGTTTTGATAATCCATGCCAGCTCACGGCCTGCCACATAGATGACCTGCTCACTCAGTCAGGATCTGACACCCCACACCAGGCTACACCTCCCTGCGTTAAAGCTCCGTGCCACTGTTAGGCCATTTCTCTACAAGGACCATTTCCTTGCTCCACTTAGGGTCTAAAACCCTTTGCAAGACTGTACCTCTTTGCTGATGCTTTCCTAACCCCACACAGGCTCCAACAACCCACTCTTCCCCCAAATCCCCAGTGATCATGCTAGGTTCCTCACTGGTCAGGCTGCGACTCCCATCTGGGCACCTCTAGCTGCCTCCACTCTAGTGAGGATGGCTTTAGGACTGAATTGTTCTGGAAAGGAAGAGAAGAGAAAGAAGAAGGAACAATAAGTATTTCTTAAATGAATGCATAAATAAGTGCTCTAAGCTGCTTCTGAGCTACAGTTCCCTGCAGGATGCTTAACAGTGTTGTACAGGTATTGTTATGGTGTCCATGGGGAGACTCCAATTTTAACTGAATCCATGGTGGAAGTCATACCTCTCCCCAAACAAGTTTTTTTTTTTTTTTTTTTAATTGTGCTTTAGGCAAAAGTTTACAGTTTAAGTTAATTTCTCATACAAAAATTAAAAATACAGAATGCTTCACAAATTTGCGTGTCGTCCTTGTGAAGGGGCCATGCTAATCTTCTCAGTATCGTTCGATTTTAGTATATGTACTGCCAAAGCGAGCACAACCCAAACAGGCTTTAAAATATCATTCCATAATCACAGTTCACTGTAGATTCGTGGCTAACCTGAGTGTTTTGAGGCTAAAATATCTCCAGCTGCTGAGTTTTCTATGCCAGGGTCAGCCCTCTGCAGGCTATATGAGGTGATTAAACACTAAAACCCGAGTTGCTCTATTGGGATGGAAAAAGTTTAAAGATATAGCACAAGAAGTATCAGTTGTTGTGTTAGTGGGGATTCATTTTCAGATCATACTCTAAGCAAGAAGTGCCTTTTTCTGCCAAAAGGATTTCTAAATTTCTCTTTCATTGCTATAGCATAGATGACACCCATGAGGCAAGAAAAAGAACAGGGTCTATAATGGTCATTAGGGGCTGAATCACTACCCAGCCATTTTGGTTAGCAAAGGAAAAGTGTGCAGCAAGTAGTGTGCACGACACAACAGAGACCAGCAAAGCCTTCTGTGGAGCTCACCAATGGCTACTGAAAGGTCAACTTCAAGCAAGTAATAACTTTAAAAACGCTTTACCACTAGTAACAAGGGTAGTAAGGTAAGATGTAGATAATCCTCTCAGATGGAATACTTCAGAACATTCTAGAATATTCCTTTAGCCACACTAGTTGAGGTTTTCCACCACTTCCTGACTCAGTATGCTGGATTGTCTCTCAGTAACTCAGCATCATTTTTTTTCCCATGTTCTTCCTTCTAGTATAGGAGATGGAGGCCTAGGAACTACATCCCCAAAATCCCTACCAGCAAATTCTGGATTAGCTTTCTTCAATGAGAGGCACTTACATGAGATTTGAAAGGCAGAGCAGGAGCAGAAGTCATAGTATTGTTCTGTGGCAGCAGTAAGCAGATGCATAGACTTTGGCAGCTGTGAGGTTTTGTGGCAACTCCAGAGATATTTCTGCCAAACACCAATCTTGGTGCTGGAGGCAGCTATGATCACTGCCGGCAGTTTCTTGGAGTTCCTGCAATTTCTTGATATCCTAAAATCTATTAGTACCCGTAAGATCTAGCAGTGGTCTTCTCTGACCTTCCTTTCTGTAGTTCTTCCAATGGTTTTGTAAGTATCCAGTTCCCTGCATTAATATCTTCCTGCTTGAAATACCTGGAGTAATTTGTTTTTCTGACCAAATTCTGACTGATACACTTGGGAAGATATGGAGATTACTGTGTACCTTTTAGAGTTCTTTGTTGGTAACTATGCTTGTGCTGAGTGGACTTCTATCAAGATTATGGTGCTGAGAGTGGACAAAACTATGTGTGCATGGTTTTGGAATTCAGACTTAACAGGGTTTATTCTTCTCTGGGTAAACTGCATGCTACAGAGTCTTCTTATCCCCTATGTTCCCAAAGCATTTTGTCTTTATTTATACTATGGTATGATCACTTAGTACCATAATAATTGTGTACACTGTTGTCTTTTATGCAAGAGCTGTGAGCTTCTCTAGGACAGAGACCTTGTATATTTCACCTTGATAGCCTCAGGATTTTGCTGAGTTCTGGACACACTGCAAATGAATGGATACACTTCACAGTAAGTGGGAATATTCTCCCTGGTTATAAGTAGGGAATGTCCACAGATAACTGATAGAAATAACTACTGGTTACTGATTATACTATATGCCAGGTGCTTTACAATTGTTATCCCATTTTATCCTCACAACAAACTGTGCAATAATAACACCTGAAATTGAAGCTCGGAGAGGTTTTATTTTGCTCAAAGTCACACAGCTAATAAATGCTATGCTGTTGTTAGTTGCTGTTAAGTGGGCTTGGACACATGGCAACCTTACGTATAACAGAACAAAATGTTGCCTGGTCCTGAGCCATCTTCATAATCTTTGATATATTTGAGCCCATTGTTGTGGCTATTGTGTCAATCCATCTCAGCGAGGTTTTCCCTCATTTTTGCTGACCCTCTACCAAACATGATATCCTCTCCTAGTTATCGGTCTTTCCTGATGATGTGTCCAAAGTAAGCAAGAGGAAGTTTTGCCATGCGCTCTTTTAAGAAGCATTCCGGTTTTATTTCCTCTAAGACAGATTTGTTCATTCTTCTGGCCTTCCAGGGTATACTCAGTATACTTTACCAACACCACAATTCGAATGCACCAACTCTTCTTTTGTCTTCCTTTTTCATTGTCTAGCTTCTGCTTGCATATGAGGCGATTGAAAAGACCATGGCTAGGGTTAGATGCACCTTAGACATCCAAGTGACATTTTTGCTTTTTAAATAAGTGCTATAGCCAAGAGTTAAACCAGGTTTGATTAGCTCCAAAGTCTCATTCTTTCCACTATTCTCCCTCCCTGAGAACAAGGCAGGTATCTTGTACCTGGAAAGTGGCAGTAAAATATAAATGTCAGAGAGTTCTAAGTGTCCGAATAAGACTGAGACTTTGTAGTATGTAGTTATTCACACTCAGAATTAGCAGTGTAACTGACCCTTAATATGAGCAAAAGAAGTTCAAGGCCAGGAACCAAGGGGTCAGAGAGTGTGGGAAGAATGGAGCAGGAACAACTGAGGACATCACGCTAGCAAAAGCGAGACATGATAGCTGGGACAGTTTGCTGTTACAGCTCTGATCGCCCACCTTGTTCTCCTCTTGTCTTGTGGAAGGATCCTGGAGTCACATGGATATTGAAGGCTAGGTAAGGAAAGTGGAGACGTTAAGTGGACCTACTCACTTAAAAAAAAAAAACCAAACCCGCTGCCATCCAGTCAATTCAGACTCATAGTGACCTACTCAGTAGTAGGTAAAATTCCTTAAAGAGATGTAGCCCTGTCCTCCTCCCACCTCCCATCTTCACTGGGAAAAAAAAAAAAAAAATTCAAAACCAAAAAATAAAGCACTGAGAGCTACTTAAAACCAGTTGAAATGTCAACACACGTTGAAGAGGGCTTTTGGGCAGAGTAAACACAAAGTTACCTGCTCTTGGAATGAGAACAAGGAAGAAAATGAAGAACTTGGCTTTCAAGGATTTAGAAAGTTACACAGCAGAACAAATTCCCAGTTGAGTGGGGATTTGCTTTCCCTACTTATCTGAGATCAGAGCTAACTGTCCCAGAGGTTCTGAGGGCCCTAAATGTTTCTTTCCACTTGGGTAGAGCTGTGTTGGCCTATTTGGAGTTGGATGCATCTCTTTGTAAATCACAGTATATCTTAGCGGTTGCTCACCTACCTCCCTAAGAGCTCTTTGAAGAAACATACAATGTCTTATTCATTGTCATATTTTTGTCACTCAGCACGGATCTTCACTTGTGTTGATTGAAGAAGTGAATGATAATTAAATGAATAAATAAATAAATAGGTAAATGTAAATTAATTAATTAGCCTAGGGATATATCTTCTTATCTGTTGCATATAAAAAGACACATAAACAAAATATGTGTGTGTTAAATTTATATATTATGATGGTAAACACTGGACAGGCTTTGGGAAATATTCTTGGCAAGCAAGGTTTGTGGACTGATAGCTTCAAAAACTTGATCTGCAAGACTATTTCCTGTTTGGTGGTCTGGCTCTTAAGATCTTGAGATTGTCACAGGCAGGTGAGCTGATAGAACTAACGTGAAGTTTTCTCATCCGGTATGGAAGTGCAAATGAAATCCAATCTTAGACGATGGGTACCAAGACTTGACAAAGGGAAAAATTCTGCTTTCGGTGACCTTATTATTTTCCTTTAAAACTACGAGGATTATTTCTTCCCTTTGCTTTTTCTGCCAACTTCTCACAGAGCAGTATGCACACATTATCAAGTTGTACAATACTGTGTATTGGTTTTCCAGGGCAGGGTATCAAAGGCCCTCATGAGGAAAGAAAAGGTTTTTGTAGAATGACACTGGATACTCTAAACAGTCTCATGTTCTTTGCCTTCCAAAGCTGGAGCTCTTTTTTGGATCCACTTTTACATTTGAATATTTTGAATATAAGACATTTAGGGCAGAAGAACAGAGTCCTCATTCTGCTAACATTTTGAAGCATTTTAGGAAAAAAAGAGGGGAAAACAAAAAAGTCTTAAGGGGGAGAATACGAAATCTTCCAGAACAATTAGTAAGGGAGCTCTTATTTTTAATTCTATTATGTATATAAACTCAAGTATGTCAGTAAGTAATCTTGTCTTTATCCTGCTCATCACATGTCTTATTCCAGATCAATGGCTGACTCTAAAATGACTCATCTTATTCTATTTAAGGTTGTTCAAGTGGGTTACGGTTGAATCATCTCCACGTTTCTTTTGGCGACTTAGAAGAAAAAAAAAAAACGCTAGAGTTCATTAGATTTGCTTTTTTTAAGGACTTTTTTTTTTAAGTTGACTAGACAAAACTGGTCATTTTAAAAGTTTTGTGGTTATCCACACTGGCTAGTTAATTCTATCTCTGAAGTTCAATCCTACAAATTATTTTTGAAGAATGTGTGCTTAGAATACAATTTCCAACACAGCTCCCAAGAATGAGATTGTTTTATTGATATTATTAATCTCTTGCTCTATGGGCTTAGCAGTACTCTGTTGGCTCTCTTCCAAGCCTCTGAGAAACAGTCTAATCAGAAAAGAACAACCCCAGAAATATGGTCCTGATAGACTGTTGGCATTCTGTAGGACACTTGTTCTCAAAGGAAACTTTCCAGATGTGAAGTGAGAACACTAACAAGCATGGCCAGCTCAGAATGTGAATGTCTTCTTAATTAATAAGTGTTTTTGGACACTAACATCAAAAGAGTTTGAAATAGAGAGCAGCATGTTTCTGATTTCCAGTTAAATCCATAAATAACTTTTTCTACTCACCTGTATTTGTTTTAGATCTGCTTTGGCTTCCAGAGGAATTTAAGAGCATGGGTTATAAAAATGAGATGACCTCAGAGAACCAAATAGTCTTAGGGTGTTTTAGAGTAAAGAAATTAATAGATGCCAACTTCTTTAAGTATTCTCTGTGTCTATCAATATTTTTACCAGCCCACAATTTTTTTTCCAGTTTATCCCCTAAGTTATGTCATTG